GCTAATGACTTCTCCTAGTGTGGTGGGGATTAACCACAATGTGACTCCTGCACTCATTTGCAGCCTGAATGAAACAGGAAAAACCTCTTTTTGACTTTGCAAGGAATGGGTTTGTGCCTTTTCCTTTTTGCTGAGAACAGCCCCTTTTCTTTCCCCTAGACAAAACCAATGTTTTTTTTCTCACTGGGCTTTACTTGGAAACGCTAAGGATGTGTCACCCTCTCCAGAGAGTGACAGGCCAACAACTAGACCTTCTTTAACAGAGGACTAAGTTGTTGTTATACAGCCAATAAAAAACTATTGAGGTGGAATCAACCAAGGGTCCTCTTTCTGTCCAGCTCCTTTCCCAGGCACTGGAAACCTCAAATTCCTGACCATGGTGACAGACTGGAGTAGCTGCCAAAAGAGCACACAGACATGGCTGATGTCCCCCACACCTGCCAGGCAATTTCTTCCCCTAGGAAAGCAGAAAAAACAATGGAGCAGAGCATCCTTTCCTTTCTATTCTGTTTCCCAGGCTATAAATACATCCTCACCTAATGCCACAGCTCTCTTTCATTGGGCTGCTTTAACATATCGGGAATTATCAACACTGAAGTTGCTACTGTTAACTGTTTAAAGTTTGGACACTAAAAATTCCATGTCCTGTGCCTAGAAACTGTGATTATTACTTTTTCTTAGAAAATCCTTAAACAGTGGATGAGGGAAAAGCCATAAATGGGAATCAACAGGCCATTCTCTGAATGCTGGCACCAGTAAGAAGTGAAAAGTGAAGTTTCAGACTCTTGCCTGTCCTTTGGAACACAGCAACAGAGAGTTTGAAGAATAAGAAGTGAATTTTATCAATTTAGCTGCTTACCTTGAAAAGCTGTACATGCAGATGGAATGTGAGACTTCTCAAGGCTATGGCTTTTGAATTATGGTAAAAAAATCCTTAAATCTCCTAATTTTTCCCAGTTGTCAACATTGGTCAGTGGCAAGTCTGCTCACATTTAAAACATTAACAGCGAGAGCCTTTTTTAAGTAGGAAAACAGGAAAAAAGTGTCCAAACTCCCAAACTTTGCCTGCTGCTCCTCCAGCAGGATCAGACCCTTTTCACTGCAGAGCTACAGACGAGGAGTTATCAATTACAGGCTCCTAAAAATATTTTAAGTTTTGAACTTGTTGCATGTGCAATGAGATTCTTCTGAGCGTAGCAAAAGGCATTCAGAACCTCCTGCAGTATTGCTCTCTATAGTCTTTTGCTATTTTTTTAAACAAAGAACAATCCATCCAGGACAATAATTAAGTCTCTGGGTGACCCAGCTGTCAAAGCAGGTGGAGAATGCTGAAGTATCAGAGGCAGCATCCTCTGTACAGACCTGAGGAAGGGGAACTCTTGGTCTGCAGGCCAGAAAAGCTTCATAGTACTGCAAAACATCCTCTCAGTCATCGCTGCACTTGGGTGAGATGATGCTCAACTTGAGGAATAGATTTAGGAGCAACCAAAGCTACAGAAGCAAAAAAAGCTACAAATATTTCAACAGAAAAGCTGAAGGCTTTGTTTGCAATCCCCAGCCCAGCTGAGGACTTGGATTTGCTTCCAGTCACGAGTAAATAGGGGCTGAGTCCTATGGACTAGATAATAAAAAGGACACAGTAGCACTAGTTAAAAGAGAGAAGACTCCTTTTCAAAGCCAGAAATGAAGACATTCTTTTGGGCCTGGTGTATTCATTTTTGCACAGATAAAACCAAACCCATCTTGTTCCCCTGCACTTCTATGATGTAAATTCTGTGTGATACACAGCAACCTGTGCCTCCCTCAGCATTGGTAACTCTCACACTGACACCATCGGGCTTCAAAGCAACACACAGCACTGCTAAAACATGCATTGAGGCTCCCCCAAGCATTTTTCTTGTTAGGTTGGGTTTAATTAAAAAAAACCCTGAAGATATGGTAACTACTGTAGGAGACTGTGGTAACGTGCTGTCAAAGGAAAGCTGTAACATCAGCCTGACAGTTTGCAAATGCAGGATTGAGTCCTTCATGTAAACCAGCTCCCAATTCAGTAAGTAAATAGGATCACTATTCACAATAATTACCACTCTAATGCACAGATTAACTCAAGATTGGATGGTAACAGATAAAAGAAAAAATCAAAAAAATAAAAAAATCAAAACAAAATCAAAAAACCACAAGAAAACAAAACAAAAAAAAACAAACCCAAAAAACCACAAAATTTTTTCCCCAGCAGCTGACCCCTCACACAATAATTTGGCTGTATATGGCCACAGCTTAGAGAAATCTCAGTTGCAGCCTTGGCATGGCAGAGAGCAAAGTGTAAAGGTTCTGAATGCTACGGTTGTTCAGAGGAAACCCAGAGCCTTCCCTCTTCCCCTCACGGGCACCACCTTAATTACTACTAAGGAACCCGGTCGTTATGCAAATGAACTCAGCTCTGGGATTGGGGATGGAGGATTCTCACACACTGTCAACAGGAGCTCTGAAAATAGCAAAGAGCAGATGCTCAGTGCAGACCCCATGAGCATCTTTCCTCTTGCTATTTGTTTCAACAAGTCTTTCAATAAATTTACTGCTCCAAAAATCAGAATTTACAAAGTAGTAAAGCAAGGTGACAGGAACAAGACCTCTGGCTAAGTGAAATAATATTGCTGGTAACACTTATCTACAGATTAGAAGATGATTTACTGGGCAAATTAACTAGTCTAGTTTACTTTGTATTAATCACTCTCTGATCTGCCTTGCACATCTATACATAAAAACCCTCCACTGTGCATTTATATCTGATATTTAAGACACATAATTAATTACAATCTTCTCTTAATTCTGATTAGTTATTTTAATGCAACATGAGTCCTGACACTTATTAAAGCTCATTCTCAAACTAGTGTGTCATATCTATTTTAAATTTTGAAGCCATGCAACATCATACCTACTTCAATTTTAACAAGGCAAGTAATTTTCTCAGCAGGAAAGGACTACATTTATTTTCTAAGGGTGAAAAACTGGGTAACTTCAGTTTTACTTGGAGAAAGTAGATAAATTTAATATCTTAAGCTATTTTAGCCAGCAGGCTGTTAGCATTACGAAAAGTTTGTCCATAGCACAATAAAGAAAGAAGTTCCAAATAAATGACAAATTATTTTGTTTACCTTGTCTTTTTTTATTTTTTATTTTTTTTATTTTAAAAGTGTAGGAATATATATACGCAAGACTAAATCTGATTATCCCTTCTGGTTTCATAAGCCATTCCTAACTTATCCAAAATCAGGTAGGCATATGTGCCCCAAATTTTAAGGATTTCAACTCCACTGTAATTTGCATTCAAGTTTAGCTGTAGACTCATGTTTGGCTTCATTTTTAGAGGACTCTGAGAAGGGACATGCTTAAAATGTATTTGTATGGGCATCAAAATAAACTGACATAGGAAATTAGGCAATCCAAAGATGAACACTGACAAAACCCCACAAAACCCTAGAAACATGAGGAGACAAAACTTAGTCTGTGCCCTCTATATAATTTAATTAAATGTTGCTTACTCCTCTGGATAACTGGAGCTACCATTCAGTGGCTGAATTGTGAATATTTTTGAATGAGCAAAAAAATACAGCAGGTAAATTATGTTAGTACTGGAGAAAATACTTTCCTCATTTACTCTAATTATATGAAATCTTAGTTCAAGTTATCCTAAAGAGCCATAAGATATTTTTGGTACAATGATGAAGTCATAGCAATAAAAGATGTCCCCTAAGAAACTCTTACTTAGTCTGAAACATTATCTAGGGAGTGGGTAGAGTTGATATACTTTGATTTAATACTTCAAGTGTGTTCAGATTATTGAAAATTTTAACAGAAAATGAAGTTACAATTTTACCCAGGGAGTTTATGCATCTTTCATATTGTTCAGGTTTAATTTAGTTTTGGGGGGGGTTTATTTTATTTTTAAATAAAACAGTATTATTTACTAAAGCAACACTTACTGCCCATGAAGGCTAAATTAACTGATGTAGCAAGACAAAAAGGCTCAGAGAGAGACAATAGCACATGCCCATATTCAAGGTAATTGTGTCAATGTACAGTTCCCCCTTCAAGGGCACTCTTAATTCATGGTTCTTTCAAAGTGTAGCTGTTGCTGTCCTGAACATAAAACAGAGCTCTAAACATACAGCCTTAGATTAAGGCTCTGTCTTAACAACAAAATTAATAGGTCCTCAAGAAATTCTAGTTACCCAGAATTGTGTGACACACGTTAAATTGTGAGATCATTGAGTATTAAAAGTAACATTCCATTTCTATGACTGTCTGAACACACACTGTGCCCTGCAAGAAACAAATATGCTACTGAACTGCATTGATTAAATATTTAGAGTGAGAAAAAAAATATGCCACTACAAAAGCAGACCATGCTTTGCAAAGATATACTTTTCTTCTAACAGTCTAACTAGAAATCAGAATCCAGGAGACATGAGAGAGTTAAACTCTCCCATTATTCCAGCTGAATAACTAACACTTACATAGTGCTTTAAAATATAATGAGATGCAGAAGACAGAGTATTAGATAGCTGAAACAAGGATGAAGATGCAACTCTCAAACTCTTAAGAAACATTTGGGGAAAAACAAAAAAATTACAAAAATATTTTAAATCCTCCTCTTTTTCTCCACCTCTGCCTCCTCATTAGTATGGGTTTGAGGCTCTTTCCTCCAGCAGCAGGAGCCAAGCTCCCGAGCAAGTGGCACACTTTGTTCTGTGTTCTTTCAGGATATGGAATTCCTTTCCTTGTAGAAAAAAAAGAGTTAAAAAAAAACCCTCCTCTAAAAAAAAAAAGAGTTAAAAACCCTCATCCTGACTCTCTTTGGCTGAATAAGAAAATTCCCAAAGGAACTCACATCACTAAGTGCCATAATAGGGTTACAAGGTATCTAATCAAGTGTAAACAATCGAGTTATTGGAAGATAACAAATAGTCTGATCAAACATTAAGTTCATGTGCACTTACTCCCAAAATTCCATCACTGGAGAAGTGGCATTTTGTAAAGAGACTTGACTGCAGTTGCTCATGTTAAGTTTTTGAAATTCCACACAGTTTTCTATAAAAGAACAAAAAAAAAGTGTTTGTTATATTGAGTGCAAGTACATTTTTTTCTTCTCCGTGCACCTTGTGAAGCCACCATTCTACAATATATTTGCTGTACGTGTAACACTGTGTTTTGATCAGCAGACCACAGGCCTATCCCAGAAAAATATCCATGACCACTCTCCTGTAACACTTCCCAAAGGCACATTTCAATGGCAAGGGCCAATAAAACCCCTCAGGCAGAAAGACATGTTGAGGAACTGAGGCAATGGATTGGGAATTACAGCATATTCCAAGTTCAGTGGTTTATGGCAACAAATGACATATGGAACATGGCCAGCAACAAGCTTCCACTTTGCCCTAATGTGGCAAGTGAATAATTCCTCTGGCTTTTTATTATTATCATCTCCAGCACAGAGAAGGGAGGCCAAAGCAGCTCAGCACTGCTGAGTTGATGTGTCGTATTTGAGCAGCCAACAACACTGGTCAAGCTCCTCTGCTGGGTTGCCACAACTGATACCAAAGCCTTCCACATCCATTGGGCCCAAGACTAGTTCCCTAACATTAACTGTAAGAGTTCAGGCAGTTTTAGGTGTGCTCAAAGGCCATGATAATGGCCATTTAACAGAAAAACATGAAAGACAGTACAATTGGTACGTGGTTTGAAATAGGAGAGCGATATAAGGAATAAATACACAAAACTTCAGGAATAATGGAAATAAGGGCACTGATAGGAAATCCTCCCCATAGGTGTTTGTGATCCAGAAATGCAATAAGCAGAGAATTACACATAAAAATATCAGTGAAGGGAGACAGATGAAGAGCCCTGTACTGCAAAGCCTCACAAACACACACCTCATCGTTCATGCAGGAGGCTACTTTGCATGCTGTAAGAATTATGTATGCAACTAAATTTCCAGAAGGAGCTTGATGAACATTTTCCCTCAACATCTGGCGTTTGAAAGAGCAAATCCAAAGATCCACATCTAATATTTTGCTCTCCATTCAAATGCCTCCTGATTTCATTAGAGTGAAAGAGCAAGATTGCAACCTGTCATCAGGTCCGTCTCTGCAGCAGAATTCACTCACTGGATTTAGGGAGAATAGGTATGATTGCAAATGAGAGTCTTGGGTTTTAGCCAGAATATCTTACAGAATTAAAAAAAATCCAAAATCTTCTTCTTCTGCAATATATTCTACAGAAGCAAATGCTTATACAGTGACCTAAACCAAAAAGGTATGAGTAAGTGTTCACTCCAGGTTTCCTTTATCATGGGATGTGATTGGCCCATTTGCAGTGACTTTTCTACAAGAATAGTTTTGCTCATGGCATTTTAGTGTATTAATCAATTATTTGGAAGGTTTTTGTATAGGGATAATCTCCACTGAGTTCATACCTGTATTCCATTCATGCCCACAGGTAGCCCAGGGAAGTTCTGTAGTAAAGCAGTTAAACAAATAGAAGATAGCCCATGCTAAAATAATGATGTAATATACATTTAGGTGTGCCTCTATCACTTGGGTAGCATAGCCAATGCCTAGAGAAAAAAAAAAAAAAATAAGTGAGACATGAGAGAAAACTCCTGCTTTTCAGGTAAGTTAAAAACAAATGCTTACTATTTTAAATGTATCTTAACTTCAATTTTGATACAATTTATTTCATTTTACTTCAAGGTCAACGCACTCTTTTGCAGTAGGAACATAGAAGTGTTTGTTACCTTCAAACAGAGGGCAAACTTTCCTCCAGCATGTAATGCCTCCTTCACTAGTGAACTGTCCCAAGGCCGTCTCCAGGAAAAATACTGGTATTCCACAGCAAATGAAAAAAACCACATATGGGATGAGGAAAGCACCTACAAGGGAATATTGAGTGGGTGTTGGTTATAAGGAATGCAGTTCCTTGACAACTGAGTGAGAATTCTCCTAGTAAAGGAAGGATCATTTAGCTCTCAGACATCAAGCTGACAGTGCAGGAAGCGTTTACTCCTGGCCCCAAATATCAAAAAGTTGACCTGTAAGCCAATGTCTTGGACTAAAAAAGGCCAGATCAAAGTTCCTCAGCATAGACTAAAGTCTGCTCATGTGTCTCTCAAACACTGAAAAGATTACAGTCTTGCTCAGCCACAAAGTTCTGCACTGATCATCAACCACATCAGTCTGCACTATCTTCTCTTCCTTGCTTTTCCCCAGAAAGAAGGAATGAAGAAACTAAATCCAAGAAGTCCTTTGTATATTATTTACATAAGCCTCATGATAAAGGTTATGGAAAAGGAACAGACTTTAGAACTACTTATAAGAGCAGGAAAGCAGGATTTTGCCTGATCAGCTAGAAACATTAATGTGAAATTCTAGGGAAATAACAAAGCATCAGCAACTCTGTCAGATGCCCCCAGCAAACTCCAGTATAGATTATGAACCACATCAAAACTCAAACACAACCAGTAACAACTGCTGTGCTTTAGTCACCTTGATTAGAAAGTTAAGACAACTAAAAACAGTTGCTTTTATTTGCAGTTTGTTTCTTCAGAGCCAGCACAGCACCAGAGATTGCTTCACTAGTAGTCTCTTCCCTCAGCTGGGAAATTTTCCTATAGCTGAATCTCATCTGCCTCTCAAGCAATCCATGAGGATTTCACAAAGACTGGAATCCTTACAGCTAAAACAGAATTTACTGTGCATATTGTTTTGAACAAGATCTGTATAGGCCAGGTGAACTGCTGGCCAGTATCACATCCAGCTCACAATCACAGTGAGTTTAACGTGGCAACTTGTTGAAATCCAAAGTATTTGCTTTGACTGTTTTTCCAACACTGTTCTACCGCAGGTATACATCATGGGAGTCAGGTTTCCCAGCTTGTAAAAAGATCATATTCCAAGACATATCGAATTCTAATAAAAAGAAATTAATTTTCCTAAAATCTCCAAATAAATATCTACAAGAACAACCTAAAATTATAGAAGCTTATGCTTACACAGCCTGTCATGACTCAGAGGAAGTGCCAGAGGGAGGTCAGAGCTCCCAAGTTCCACACTAGAGCTTCTAGGTTTGTTCTGTATCTAGCAAGTTATTTCATGGCTAGCTCATGTATTTTACCATTGTCTTCACTTAGCACACACTAAGCAGTTTGGTGCATCAGATGTAAACACTGAAAACAAACTCTGGTCAAATTCCACCAGGGCACTCTGGAGAATTACAGACCCACAGGTCACAGACCAAGCCTTCATTGAATAAAACTGGTCAATGGCAAATTCCCCGAGGTGCCAGGACATGACCAATTAGATCACACACACTAATTCTATTCTTAAGGAATAGAGTAGTGATTCAATATGATATTTGAGTATGTACTTTACCATCAAATAACCCTAAACCATGATTAGAATTCTTCCTACCTAATGTTAGAGCCTTTAAAAAATGATAGCATCACATTTGGACAAGGTAGCACATGCCTACAAATGGACATGGAAAGGTGGCTGTGTGGACAAGAAAATGACACACCAAAGATACATTTCTATTTTTTCCTCTTCCAAAAGTTCTCTGGGAACACTTTGACAATCAACGAGAAACTGTCCTGTAAATCACATCCAGCATATTAATATTTATGTACTAACAGCAGTATTTGGTAACATCATTCTGGAAAGAGGTGAACTCCTGCTATCTTAGTTTTACCCAAGTACAGATATATAGAGAAAGGCACTACAAACAAACATGTCTTCCACAGCACTATTAGTCTTAGAGAAACAGCAGACAAAATGGGCCAAAACCATGCCTGAATTCGGACAAGGAGGAACAGGGAAAATAAATTTGGTGCAGTGTTGTTAGCGAGGAAACCCCTCATGGGACAGATCTTTGCATCTCAGCCACTAACATACAATTTTCCTCCCAGCCCGTGTGGTTACACTCACGCTGCCTTAAGCAGGGAGAACGTTGAACCCAGTCCACAGAATTCTAAACTGAGTTTTTAATTTACTTTTCTTTCTTCGTTGCTTCATAAGTCACAGATGATGTGCTTATTCTCAACTATCATATATCTTACACAGTTTGTACTTAACTATGACCAGTACATGCCACGTGGTCTTACTTCTGTACAAGTTAAGTCTGTTCTTTTCTCTCTCAAATAACATTCATATTTTAAATTTATTAGGGTTTGCTCTCTTCTTTGAGCAACCATCAGTTTTGACATCTTCCCCTACCTTACTGTAGGAACTGGGGAAGCACTGAGGAAGAAAACAAGTACACTGAGTAACAAAAATTTCTACATGATGAAGAATTTTGTCTTTGTGGCATTATCAGAAAAAACATGCATCTTCTCCAAAGTATTCTGCTTGAAAAATAAACTGTTACATTCTTTCCTGTGTCAAACAAACTTACTGAAGTATGCTTGGGTCTGATTGCCATGTAGAAGAAAACACAGACCGTATTACTCTAAGGGAACATTGGCTTCTTCTATATTAAATATCTCATGAAAAAAAATACAGCAATTTACTAACGTAAAAGCAACTCGTAAAAGTAACCCACACAGTGTTTCTAGAAAAAGAAAGAGAAATATGATTTTTTTTCCTAGTTGTCAGATGTTTTACACTTCCCTCTCTGCACATATGCTGAAATCTTGAGCTCGTATCTCTTCCTAGCGTAATAAATCACTGCAAAGCGTCCTTAACTGTTTATTTCCCACGTTTAGGGTGAGCAGTAAATCAACATATGATGCCATCTTACCTCCTCCATTCTTGTAGCAAAGATATGGGAATCTCCATACGTTTCCCAACCCAATAATCTCCCCTGCCACAGAAAGCACAAATTCAACTTTATTGTTCCAGTGACCTCTTTCATGAACTTTCTTATCGTTGCTGTGGACAAGGTTGGTGCTTGAGGCTTCCGGGTCCAAAGCATCTTCTGGCTTGCCATTAATTATAGGAATAGTCTTTTCAGCTGTCATGTCTTTTCAGCCTTGGGGAGAACAAAAGGAAAACACACAGATGTTTTGAGACACTTGCTGGTACTAATCTTCAATGACTAAAGTCTCTCAGCATGTCATTGGCACCCACGTAAATTGGCAGGTGCAAGTGAAGGAAGCTGGAAAAGTTGTAAAGCAGGCAAAAAAGGAAAAGATGGGGGGGGAAAGAGAAGCTTATATAGAAGAGAAGGAGTTGATTTCCAAGTTGAGACAGATAACTTAGGAGGGGATAGTGAAGCCTTTCAAAAATCCCTCCCCAAGCAAGGATCCCAGCTTGACCAACCTACCAGAGGACAGAGATGATCTGTGCCTTGCGGGCACCCAACTGAGAGCAGAAGCAGACGGGGATGTGGAGGAGGGGGCCTGGCCGGTTCTGGCCTGTCTGGAGGAGCAGGGAAGCTCCGGGACTACTCACCCAGGGCTCTGCCCGTGCCTGCGCGGCGGGGACAGGGGCCGGCGGTGGCTCAGCGCTGCGCTCCCCGCGGATCGCCCCGAGTACCGCTCTCCGCTGCGCCGCACGGAGACACGGGGCGGCACGGGCGGGCAGGGGAAGGCGGGGAGAAGGCGGACGGCGTTAGGATACCGAGGGAAGCTCGCCCTGCCCGGCCCGGCGGGGGTAGGATGCTCCCCACTCTGGCTGCAGCCGGGATTCGCAAATGCTCAGCCCTTCCCCGGAGCGATGGTATAACACCCGCCTCCCCCCTCCGCCCACCTCAGGCTGTCCCGCCAGCTCCCCCCTCCTCCTCTTCCTCCTCCCCGCCACCAGCATCACCAGCCGAGCATCCCCAGCCAGGGCCGAGCTCCCGGCAGTTCCCAGCCCCGCGGGTGTTCCCGGTCCTGAGGGCGGTTCCCAGCGCGCCGCTCTCTCTCCCCGGAGCCGGGGCTGTCCGCATGAGGCGGGGGGGGTGGCGCCCGGTGCCGTGAGGAGCGCCCCCGCCGCCCGCACCTGGCGGCACCCGCAGAGCGCGCCCGGCCCGCCCTTGGATGGGATGCGATGGATGGGGGTTTAGCGCAGGCCTGGCGGGTTAAAAAAAGGAACAACAGGACACCGATTCAGCTGGAAAGGACTGGGGAGGGGGGAGGAGGAGGAGGGGGAGGGGTTGAGGGACAGACGGGATAAAAAAGAAACCTAAGGGGAACATTTAGAAAGTGTGGAAACAATGTGGGCGCTTTCCAGTTACACTAGGAGGAAAATGCAGAAGAGCAGCCCGTGTGGGCACTTCTAACCAGGGTTTGGCTTAAAATTCAAGCAAAATAAGTCTAAAAGAGAAGCAAGAATAGGAGGATACTTCCTCCTGTGCATACAAATGGTTTTGTTTCAGGTTAAATAAAACGTCTCAAAGAAAGAGGTTTTTTACCTGTTAAACCCCGCACGCCCTTTTATTTTTGTGGTAGTTCTCTCATTTCCAGCCCAGGTTTCTCAACCCAAACTAAATACCTCTTCTGTTCTTCGTCTCTGCAGTTTCTCCTTGGCAAATGGCAGGACCAGAGGCAGGTTCCAGGTTCAAATCTTCCCTTGGATCCACACTAAGTTGCAGATATGATCACCAAGGCTTTGCTCTGCAGCTCCAGGAGATGCACTTCAGAACACAGTCTCCTAAATCTGGGATTCCATTTAGGCATGCTGGAGAACGCTGTCCCAGAGACAGCCTGCTCTTCCATGGGAATTCTTTCCCTCTTCCTCTACATCCCCATGGACTTTTCACCCTGCTAGGAAATCCGTTTGCCAGCACTTAATGGAAGACAACGGAAAGATTCTCATGGATAGATTTTATATTAACTTGAGCTGACTTTGGAACCTAGAGCTGGATCATACCTTGCTTGTACATGTAGCCTCAGAGTGTTTATCATTGAAGCTCCTGCTGTGGTTTAAGCTTTTAGAATTTTGCTTGTAAGTTATGCATGTCACAGGTGTGGGCACTGGGGCCTCACCCTACATTCTCTGTCAACTCTCTCTCACATAAACTCTTACACCTAACAGGTGCAGGATGAGGCTCTTCCATTTCTTCTTCATGCCAACATATATAGCACCAGTCAAACCTATATTGTGAAATTAAAGACTGCCAGAGTTGATAAAACTGCAGAATTCTGATTTTGTTTTTAAAGCATCCTTCCCAGAGATATCATTACCAGTGCTGGGCTTGATTCTGGGTGGGGCTTTTTGTGGCTTGTCTTCGTTTTTAATGCAGCTGGTACTCATTAATTGAGGATGGAATAGATCAATTTTTTCCAACCTGGCTTTGCACAAATCAAACTCAGCTTTGAGGGTTTTTTTGTTGTTTTATTTTTCTCCCCCCCTTCTTCCTTTAGTTTTCAGCAGGGATCAAAACAGACACTGTTCTTCTGTATTCCAGCCAGGCTTAGCAGGCTCAACAGGAGACACTTAAACATCAAAGCTAAAACTGAATTCTCATTTCGTTCCTGTGAGTAATTCTAAAAATGGAGGCAAGCTAAGGGGCAGTAAATATTTGACTGATGATCCAAAACAGGGGAGAGACCAGTCTTCTTCAAATAGACTAACGATACCACATTGAAGGGTCCTGCTGCAAAGGACAGTCTATAGGCAGATGAAAAAGGTGTCTAATCAGTGATGATTTGTTCAGTATTTGAAAAGTTTAATTCCTGTTGTCAAGTGTCTTATCCACTGCTGTATTCTTGCGCTGATTCCCATTCAGTCTCCCACCAATTGAAGTGTTCATGGAAGTAATTGTTAGCTGCTAATCTTTGTGAACACTTCAATGAAATGCAGCACCTTATTTGCAACAGAAAACTTCACAAATTTTAGAATGGTTTGATAACCCTGGGATTTTTTTTTTAATTATTATTCTGGGGGAGTCTTCTCTATAGCAATGAAAAAAATTCTCTGGACTACAGGCTATGTCTCAGTTCAATCACTAACTGATGTATGTCATGCTGCTCATCATGAATTCATGCCTGCTTTTCCAGCATGTTGGGAGACCTGCATGTGACCTGCAATCAGAGCTCAGCTCAGGGGTGGGATGACAGCAACCTTGGAACTGTAAGGCAGGAGACCAATAACCAGCAGTATCAGAAGGTTGTTACTAGTAAAAACAATAACTACTCCTAAAACATCAGTACACTACCTAAAACATTAGTACATATTCATAGAAGGACCTGCAGTATCACACATCAAGCATTCCAGTTATGTCCAAGCAGATTCCTTCTGCCTTGTCTGCTCCTCATAATGGAGCATCAGTTCTGCAGAAAGCTTTAGGAGTGTTGCTCCCAGCTCACTCACCACAAGTTTCCTGGCCATTCCTTTCAGGCCCCACAAAGCAAATGCTGTACCTTAACAAAGCAATTCAAGTTCTCCTTTATTCAGGTTTGTCTCCACACACCCAAGGAAAACTTTACAACTCTATACAGACAGTACAGGGGTGGGAGTGGAAATTAGATGTTTCTACTTGGTGCTGGGAAATACCAAATGTTCTAAGGCTACATTTATTTAGATTGTAAATTGAAATTAATAGAGATAGGGGAATTTATATCTAGAGTAACATGAGAAAACAAACTCCAAGAAAAGCCATGTTCCCACAGGATTCTGACAGGATGCTAAAACACCTGGCCCAGATGTACATAGATATTCCCAGAGGAATAATCACTCTATCCAAGCCTCTTTGGTTACTTCCAGAGCTCATATTAATTTGTCCTGTTCTAGAATTTCTACCTGGTCCATACTTTGAAGACACAAACACACAGCATGGAAAAACCAACACAGGTAATAGAGAGATCAATGCCATGTTCACACAAGTGATTAATGGCAGCAAAATATGTGATACAGCTTTGGAAATTAAAAACCTTGGCCTTGGCTCCATTTCTTCTCCTTATTGTAACTCTGTTATTTTATGTGTTGTTTCTGCAATTCAGAACCCTGTGACAGTATAATTGAGGGGAGGAAGGAAAAACAATCCTCTCCAGATTTAAAAAGTTCAGTTTAGATTTCATGTAAGCAAAATGTGCACAAGCCTTTACACAATGACTTCACAAAGTTGGACTCTTCATGGGTAAATAGCTACACAAAAGCAAAGAAATACAATAAGGATTTCATTAGTGATAACAATCTGACACAATATTTTGGATCAAAAGCCTCAAATCACAGAGCAATTTGTGAACATATAAGATGCCTTTAGCTATTCTGTTATAGAATGGACTTCAGTCACAAAGCAATTGGCTGTCTGATTTGTGCCTAATCAGTTTTCTGCAAGGAGAAAAAAAAGATTTATTTGTTGTAGATAACTTTAAGTAAAGCAACAACTGATTGTTGGGCTTCTATTTAGAAAGGTTTAACCATTATCATTGTAGATATCTCTCTACTTAATTTATTGCCTGTGCCACACAATGGTTGAGATCCTGAATTTAGAATTGAAGGGAGCAGCAAAAATCACTTTTTCATCTATTGATGTTGCCCTTTGGGGGCCTTTTCTTGTCCCTTGCTGTCAGTCTGAGATCCATATTTTCTTTGCTATGTATATTTTATCTTTCAGTATCTTGAGCTTCCTAAACATGGGTTTTACAGAGAGCCAGCACTTGGACAGAACCCCCAGTAGTGAGGTTTATGCACAATTCCCAAGTGAGCAGTCACCTCTGCAGCTGAATCAAGACCTTGGAAGCATCTATAAATGACAGCACTAAACCAGACACACCTATGGAATGATGTTTTAATGTTACTTACAAATGGCACCAAATAAAAAAATACCAATTAGACACCTCAGAAGAACCAGATACACACCACCACAAAACTGTCTTCCCACTAACAATTGTAGTCAATCATCTTTCCAGATCAGAAACTGAATTTACAGTCTTCATGCAGATATAAGTGTCATCAGCACATCTAACTCATAATTATTGAGAGGTGTTACGACCTGGAAAAGGAGTGAACTCTGAGAAGAGTTTGTGCTCAGATCCTCTGGGTGTATTTGCAACTATATCAAGATTTCAGAATTTGTACTAATAAAGGTACTCAGTGAATAACGTCAGAATATAATTCAGATTATAGATGCTCTCTGCAGGCACCTGAAGTCCTTTATCTCATCCCAGACATTCTTTCTTGCTGCATAAGAAAGTGGGCGTTACTTTGTGCACTGTACACTCCAGGTTTATCTGGGAAGACTGCTGGGGATTCACAAAGTTTAAAAAATTTAACTTTAAATCCACCCCCCGTGTGGAAAAGAGTGAACCTGACAGGAAGAAGCATCTCCCACAAGCCCTAAGCAGTGCTCCAGTGCACTTCTGTACAAACAGCCCACCTAGCCAAGCTGGATTAATCCTGGAGTTTCACACAACCTGACTTGGGTTTCAGGCTTTAGGCTGAGCCTGTAGTACGGTAATTAAAAAATAAATATATATTTTCCAGCTTATAGATGAAACTAATCATCAATAGCTAAAGTAAATAAACATGGAAGTGTAAATATTTTGCAATTAATTTCTCCTGTCCTGATTCAACAGCTCAGTATGATCACCTATGTTTAATCTTCAAGGTCCAGTGCAGGTCCCTCCCAAACATGGTGACCTGTGCAATACTCATGTTCAGGGAGGGGTGGCAGCAACGCTGCACAGTCTGGCAAATGTCGTTTTAAAATACCTTAGAAGGAACAACAACAAGTTACCCTAAGAAATGCAATCCTAAGATGTGAATGAGGGAGTGGTTTGGTTCAGGTTTAG